ATTTTTAAAAGGGTATTCTGAGCAAGGTGGGAAGAGTGGGTTTGTGGTCCCCGTCCTCAGAGAGCTTTAGGCGTCCTTCCCTTGTTCCCATCAGTGGTCTTCCCGGAGATGAGGAAGCCCCCAGGGCAGGGCACAGGGCAGGGACAGGCTGAGCCTTGCTGCCTCTTGGGCGCCCTGAGGGAACCGCCGTTTGGCTCTGCACTCTCTCCCACTTCCAGATGTGGACCCTCCAAAGGACACGATAGTGTCGAACCTGACCCTGAACTTCGGGCCCCAGCACCCGGCAGCCCACGGAGTGCTGCGCCTGGTGATGGAGCTGAGTGGGGAGATGGTGCGCAAGTGCGACCCCCACATCGGGCTGCTGCACCGAGGCACTGAGAAGCTCATTGAGTACAAGACCTACCTGCAGGTGAGGGCATGCGGGGGCCGGGCACAGGGCCTGGGCGCCACCAGCTTGCCGCCTCCAGAACTCCTGGGAGGGGGGTTTGCGGGGGAGGTCTTGGTTGGGAAGAGAAGGGATGTTGCAGGGAATGCGTGACTTGAGACATCTGGACTTGGTTTATCCGGCAGAAACGCTTTGCAGCCAGAGCTACACGCCCAGCTTTTCTCTGGCTGACCTGGCTGCCCCTTTGCCCTTCCCGTAGTGCCTCAGTCTCCCGGCTCTTACACTGCAGTCAGACGTCAAAGCCAGGGTCCCTGGGGGCAGGGACAGAGGAGAGAGATGTCAGCTTCCCAGGATTAACAGCTGATGCTTGTATCGTCTAGCCGTCTAAGTTTGTTGTCGAAATACCCAGTGAGTCAGAATGACCGGGAGGGAGTCTGTGACGGAGTCGTTTCTAGGAGAAGGGTGTCGGAGTGGAAGGAGTTGGATCGGGATAGGAATCCGAAGTGTTGTTTCTTTTTTTACTGCCGTGAGGAAAGGCCTTGATAAAAGCATGATGGGTTAGGGTGAATAACCAGCCAACCAGATTGATTGCAGTTCCCCAGGGAGACTCCTGGCAGCAGTGGCTTCCGGCCCAGGAGTCAGTGGAGTTAACCCTGTATCCTTGTCCCACGTCAGAGTGACATCAGGACAAGAACTGGCTGTCCCGAGGAGTAGGTGTGTCTCAGCTCGGCCTCCTTCCTGGAAGCTGACAGTGGGGACTTGGTGTCTTGGCATTCGGGGGGAGGAGCCATCCCTACCAGAAACAAATCCTAGCTTCCTTAGGTCCCCGCTTCTAGGGACAGTGACCCCTAAGACTGATGACCTGGAAGATGGTTGGCAGTATGGTGCTTGGACCCAGGTCACCCTGGGTCATGGGACAGATTGTTAAATTTTCAGGAATTTTGTGAGCCGGTAGCAGCTGCACTGTTTACATTAAATTAGTTTACCACTTAGTGTGTCATGTTAAAAACCAAGGGAAGACATACTCAAAAGCCACCACATTCTGCTGAGCTGCGTCTGGGGGTGTCTGTTCTCGCATCTGTGCCGGAAGCGCTGTGTGTGGCTGCGCCCCGCTGGGTCAGGTGCCTTTGGGAGCCGAAAACTGCCCCTGGTGGGAGTTCTCTGCCGAGGAGGCCGGCGGGTGACTCAGGGTCCCTTCCCCACACACTGCCGCTGCGTGGGCGTCTGTCTGGCCCTGAGGGGGACCCGGCCCCTCCCTCTTCCCAGGCCCTCCCGTACTTCGACCGGCTGGACTACGTGTCCATGATGTGCAACGAGCAGGCCTACTCGCTGGCCGTGGAGAAACTGCTGAACATCCAGCCCCCTCCGCGGGCGCAGTGGATCCGAGGTGCGCTCCGCCCTCCCCCACGCTCCGCCCCCCACACCCCTCCCCCCCAGTCCCGACTCGGGGCTCAGAGCACAGACCCTGGGCTCCCCTGGTGCTGCCCTCAGCGGGGGTCCCTGGCCCTGCCCCTGTCTCCCCCTCTCTGCAGTGCTGTTTGGGGAAATCACACGGCTTTTGAACCACATCATGGCTGTGACCACACATGCCCTGGACATCGGGGCCATGACCCCGTTCTTTTGGATGTTTGAAGAAAGGGAGAAGGTAGGAGGGAGAGTGGGATGAAGATGTGATGAGGCGGCGGCGAAGGCAGACAGAAGAAACACGGTTGGAAGGGGAGAGGACACGGCCGGAACAGTTTGGGAGGAGGGGTCTTTAACCTGGCTCTAGTCCAAGGGCCTCTGTCGGGAGGTCGGGCGCAGGGGCCTAGGCCTGTGTCCACAGCTCCCTGCGCGTCCTGCCCAGATGTTCGAGTTCTATGAGCGCGTGTCGGGGGCCCGGATGCATGCGGCTTACATCCGCCCAGGCGGTGTGCACCAGGTGAGTGCCTGCCTCCCAGGCGCAGGCGCGGCCCTGTCCTCGGCGGCCACTGGGGGGCAGCGCCAGCCGCTCGGAGCACTGCCCTGGCCGCGGGCCGTGCTGGGCTCACTGTCGCCCTCTGTCGGGCTTCCAGGACCTGCCCCTGGGGCTTATGGACGACATCTATCAGTTCTCTAAGAACTTCTCTCTTCGGATCGATGAGGTGGAGGAGGTAAGACGGGCGTCGCTGGGGAAAGTGCCTCCTTTCTCCCCCGGAAGGACTTGCGGGGTTTGGGGCCCCAGCTCTGAAGAGACCCGTTTGTGTGTGAAGTTTGAGGGCGTTTTCTTGGCTGACAGATGCTGACCAACAACAGGATCTGGCGAAACCGCACGGTGGACATTGGGGTCGTGAGCGCAGAGGACGCACTGAACTACGGCTTCAGGTGGGGCCACAGGCTTTTCTCCCGGGGGCGGAGGGATCCGGAGGCCGAGGGGGAGGGGCCTTTCCCGGTGTGCTCGGAGTGACCCCGCCGCCGCGCGCTCCCCGCTCCGCGCAGTGGGGTGATGCTGCGGGGCTCTGGCATCCAGTGGGACCTGCGGAAGACCCAGCCCTACGACGTCTACGACCAGGTGGACTTCGATGTTCCGATTGGCTCCCATGGCGACTGCTACGACAGGTGAGGCCCAAATCCCCCCTTAGCTCCCGGTCCGGCTGGGGCCCCGGAATGTCCCTTTCAGCTGCCTTCTCTCCTGCGTGTGTGAAACGGGTGCTTCGCATGGCAGGTCCATCTGGTTCTCCCCTTAGGGCGTCCTTGTGGTTTAGGTGGGACTAGTTGGGGCTGGGTTGTATCACCGAGGAGGCGGAACCGCAGAGGTTAGAGGTTAGCCTTGGGTTGTTCCTTTGGAGCTGAGACCAGAGCAGGAGCTTCCCCCTGGACCCTAAGCTTCAGCCTGCACCCTGTGTGCTGACCCCGAGGGAGACGGCTGCTGCTCTCGTTCTGAGTCTGTCTGACTCCCCCTCCTCCCACAGTCCGGACAGGGTCTGCGGGGCGGGAACAGAGGGAACTGCCACGGGCAGGCCTGCGCAAGTCAGGAGAGGGCTTGGGGGCGGCCCCAGATGAGACCCGCAGACTCCGGCTTGGGGGGGGGTCGGGGGGGCAGGTGAGGGAGGGGCCGGCACCTTCCAGGCAGGCCGAGGGTGTCGCCCTGGCCCTGCAGTGCCGCCTCTGCCAGGAGCCCGTCTGGTCCGCCTCAGGTACCTGTGCCGGGTGGAGGAGATGCGCCAGTCCCTCCGCATCATCGAACAGTGTCTGAACAAGATGCCCCCCGGGGAGATCAAGGTTGACGACGCCAAGGTGTCTCCGCCCAAGCGAGCCGAGATGAAGGTGGCTGCAGGGAGGGGCCGGGGAGGGGTGTCCTGGGCTTCAGGCTGTGCACAGAGGCCTCCCTGTGCTAGGGGCTGGCCCTCCTGCGGCTGCTCTCACTCCCAGTCTCCCTGGGGGCGGAGAGAGTTCCTGCGCTGGGGCAGCCAGCGAGACAGCAGAGAGCTGGTGTACTGAAGCGCCCTCCCCTCTCCAGACGTCGATGGAGTCCCTGATTCATCACTTTAAGTTGTACACTGAGGGCTACCAGGTTCCTCCAGGTGCCACCTACACCGCCATCGAGGCCCCCAAGGTGAGGAGGGAGGGGACAGACATGGCCACGAGGGCCATGTGGCTGCAGACGGTGGGTGTCGGTGAGGGAGGGTACGGGGCGCAGGGGGCGTCCTCCTGTGGCCGTGGCCGACTCCCTCCTCCCCGATAGGGCGAGTTCGGGGTGTACCTGGTGTCTGACGGCAGCAGCCGCCCCTACCGGTGCAAGATCAAGGCTCCTGGCTTCGCCCACCTGGTAAGAGCCCGTGCCAGCGGTCCTGCCGCCTGCCAGGGCGTGCAGCCGCGCCTGCCTGTGGCCGAGATGGCCCTGAGCACCCCTCGGCCTTGACGAGCCCGCCTGACCCCGCTTCCCTTGGCCCGCAGGCCGGCCTGGACAAGATGTCCCAGGGACACATGCTGGCAGACGTCGTCGCCATCATAGGTACCGGGCCTGCGGTGGGGCGGGGGCTGTCGAGGGGACGCTGAGCGAGGACGGTCTGGACCCTTCCTCTCCCGAGCAGGCCCTGGGCCTGGAGTCAGACCCTCTGCCCTGCGCCCAGAAGTGAGCCTGGGCCCTGGACCACACCAGCCTCTCCTCTCGCCCGCCCCTAGGGACCCAGGATATCGTGTTTGGTGAGGTCGACCGGTGAGCAGACGGCGTGCTCATCTCCCGGCCGCTGCCCTCTGTGTGGAGCCTGTCGCCGCGGCAGCCGGGGCTGAGTGTGCGCGTGGCACTCAGCTGCCAGGCTCTGCGCGTGTGTTCTAGAAAAGGAGAAACTGTAATAAATTAGCCACCTTCTGGCCCCTCTGCCAAAGCATCTGGTATGTCTTTCTCAATGTCTCACTGTCCCTAATTTTCATGGGAAACTTCACTGTTTGCTAACCCGGCACTTACTGCTCTGACTCCGGTCTTAGCAGTATTTCCTGTTCGTCTCCGCCCCTGCCTGACTCTTGCCCTTCCCACTTCTCCATTCCCCATTTCCTCTTTCTCCTCACTACTCCCCCCTCATGCCCAGACCCTGCAGCCCCCACACCCTGGTAAGCCCCTCAAATCAGGGCTGGGGGTGACGTTCCAGGTGGAAGGGAAAAGGGCTGTCACAGGTCCCGGGGAACCCCAGGTGCCCATTGGTCGCAGACGTGTCTCCGACCAGGGCTGCTGTGAGAAGGCGGGTTCGGCAGCCTCTCCCAAGGCGGGCAAGTCCCCTCTGCCTGCGGTGGCAGGGCCTCGGGCGCTGGACGGCCGAGGCGGAAGAGCCCAGATCACTGTCTCCCTTAGTTGGCCCTTCCGGGAGCCGCCTGGTCTCTCGCAGGAAGGGGAAGGGGCCAGAGCTGGGGGAGGCGTGGCAGGAAGGGGGGAACTCTGTGGTCAGGGAGCTGTTCGCCCGGCACAGCTGCGCCCTCAGAGCTGCGGTCCCGCTCGCCGCCCCTCAGCCTGGCCAACATGGTCCTGGCAGCGGTCCTGCTCCTACTCCTTTTGGTGGAACCAGCAGGTGAGAGGGTTCGGAGGGGGACAGTGAGCTGGGCCCCCGGGTCGGGGTCGGGGGCATGTGTGGGCAGGTGAGACAGGGCCCACGGAGTGAGGCCGGCATGGGCAGCGGGGCCCAGAGACCCCGAGGCAGGGCCTGTGTCTTCCCCGGTCCCTGGTCCCCGGTCCCTGTCCGGGTCAGGTGCCTCCTTTCTCGTCGTCTCAGCCCTTCAGGATCCAGATGCACCCGAGGCTTCAGCTGGCGGGGAGGGGTGTGGTGTGTTTGACATAAGAGGCTGTTCTGGGAAAGGCCGCGCTTCCTGTGGGTGCCTCTGGCCTTGCCCATTAGGGGATGACCTCTAGCTGGTTCAGTCCTGTTTACTAAGTCCCCTCAGGGAGGCCAGGGTGGACCGACGGGCACGGTGCTACTTCTGTGGGCTGTCGCTGAGGGTCTGCCCTCCTGTCAGCTGCCAACGGGAGGTGGGTGGGCGGCAGGCAATGCCCAGTTCCAGAGACCGAAGCGTCCATGGGGAAACTGAGGCAGAGGCGGGAAGGTCCCCGCAGTCGGTGGATGGACTCTCACTTGCCCCCGGGGGTGCTGTGTGTGAGTGTTTTCAGGAAGGCTGGTTGCGGCCGGGGGTTGGGGTTTGGGGAGGTCGGGGTTAGTGAAACTGAAGGGAAATCAGGGAAATGGAAAGGGACGTGAGGCTGCGCCAGCCCAGTGGGGCGGTGGAAGGACCAGAGTGGGGCGTGAGTGGAGGAGAAAGCCGGCCCGGGGCGTGAAGGAAGGGCAGGCCGCCGTAGGCTTCTACGGCAGAAAACCTGGATCTGCCTTTCAGCTGCTGCTCCTCTGGGCCCCCAAACGTGTTTCTTATCTTCCTTGAGCCTCGGTTTCGTCACCTGTAAGGTGGCAATGACACTTCTCGCCCAGGGTAGTCTTGAGATTTGTGCAACATGGAGTGCGAAAGACCGTCTCTGAACACAGAGTTCTTTCCAGACGCACACCAGCCAGAGGCCCGGAGCCCACGTCTGACGGGCTGGGGCGGATGCGGCCGGCGGGAGCTCAGACCCTATTTGATTTTCTCAGTTGCGCAAACTTCCTCCTGGGCACCGGGTGTGGGAACAGGGCAGAGTCCCCACACAGTCCCCGCAGGGGCCCGAGCTGGGGTCCTTCCCGGCAGTCCTGGGGCCGAGGCGAGGGCATCCCTTGGCCTGGGAAGGCAGGAGCCCTGTTCGGGCGTATGGGAGTGTGGGGGTGGGGGTGCAGAAGGCCGGGCAGCGGGGCAGATGACCAATAATAGAGTAATTCCCTTCCCGCCCTGCCCCAGCTCACATCCTTCCTGTCCAGCTCTCAGCCACAGGTCACAGGACTGAGCAGAGACACCCCTGTGGTTTCTTCTCTGAAATTTCTCACTGCCTTCCCCTCACCCTGCCCCTCCTGTCTGAGGTTTTTAGACTGCGCCCAGCGCACTCAGAAGCGTCCCCTGAGGGCTATTAGGTGCTCAATGGGGCCTGAGGATCCCGCAGCAGGGCTGCAAGACAAGAGCGGGGGCTGAAGGAAGGCCCCGCACTCCCCGTGCGCGCACGAGCGTTCCAAGTCCGCAGAGCCCTGGGCTTGGAGTTCGGCCGCCCCCCGCCCCACCCTCCAGGGCGAGGGCGGAGAGGGAAGGCCAGAGGAAGGAATCCAGACGCAAAGATGCTGTGTCTTCCCGCCGCGTCCGAGCCCCCAGACCTCCGTCCCCCAGACCTCTGTCCGTCCTGACGCCCCACCCCCACCCCCGCGCCGTGGGCTCCTTCTGTCCCCGCAGAGGCCCTGGGAGAGCCGCAGCTCTGCTACATCCTGGACGCCATCCTCTTTCTCTACGGCATCATCCTCACCCTGCTCTACTGCCGACTCAAGGTGGGTGGGGGCGTGGCTTGAGAGACCCACCCAGTTTGGACGGGAGGGGGATGGGCAACGGGCGTAGCTTTTGCTGATGACCTTTCCTCTGCTCCAGATCCAGGTGCGAAAGGCAGCCACAGCCTACCAGGTATGGACCCCGACCCCCTGACCCCCCACACCTGGGTGTCAACAGGTTTGCTGACTCAGCCCTTCTAGGGCTGCAGCCTCGTGGTCCTTGGCCCCCACGAGTCTCAGGTGCCGACTTGCAAAAGCTCCAGAGACCCCCCTCCCACCTCCCAGCCTACCCACCCCACCTCCCAGCCAAATCACAGGCGACATGTCACCACTGCTGAGTGCAGAAGACGACCCTGGGGGCCCTGAAGGAGGGTGGGTCTCTTGACACCTTGCTCCTTTGCCTCCACAGAAGTCAGAAGGCATTTACACGGTGAGTCCCGGGCTGCCCCAGAAAGTCCGCACAAGAGGGTGGGCTTTGGGTGGCTTTGGGTGGCATCTTCTGTGGGTGGGGGGAAGGGGCCCTGGGCTGGGCCCAAGCTCCTGACTGTCCTCTGACCTCCACCTGCAGGGCCTGAGCCCCCGGACCCAGGAGACCTACGAGACCCTGAAGCATGAGAAACCAGCACAGTAACTGCACACAGACGCCCTTGGTCATGTTCTCCTCCTGCTCCGGGCTCCCCGCCCAGCCCCGCCACTGGCACCACGTATGCTTCCTGCCACCAGTGCCCTCGGACCTGCCCCCGTGACGATGCTGTGCCCCCATGAATGGGCCCCCTGGTTCGTCCGCCCTGCCGAAGGCCTGTGGCCAGACGCTCCTCATTAATGTTCACGTCCTAGTCTCCCGCGACCGCGCCCTCCCCCTTCCCCACCCCCAGCGCCTGCCGAACAATGGAAAGGGGACGCCACCAATAAAGCCCTGGAGCGGACTGCGGTCATTCCTTCCTTCACTCACTCACTCACGCACTCATTCATTCATTCATCAGTCACACACTCAGCCTCTGCGAGGTGCTGAGCTGAAGACGCTGCTGGGGGTGAGACAGGCCCCATTCCTGAGCTGACGGAGCCCAGGGTCAGACGCCGGGCTGTTTTGCTCGCTCAAGGGGTGAATGGCCTGTGAGTGGCGCTGACTTGACCCCTGACCCCACACCCTCCAGCGTGGAGCAAGAGCAGGGACTTTTGTGTCGGGGCTCTGGGCACATTCAGAGACATTTGAGCCTAAAATGAGTTCCGGGTTGTGGGGCAGCCTGGCTGTCCAACCTCAAAGAGCGACCAGTCTGATCCCCGTGGATGTCACCGAGTTGTGTGGGACAGGTCCCCGTGTCCGTGGGCGTTAGCCTGACCAAAAAGTCAGACACGCAGGAGGGGTGGTGTGACGGAGGCTCGTGGGAGGCCCCTGAAGGAAGGTCGTGTGGGAACAGGGGTCTTCAGTGGGCTCTGGGGAGGGAGGCACCTTAGCCAGTCGGGTGAGGACTGGGTGGGGGCAAGGCAAAGGGGGGCAAGCTCCTCGACCACAGGGGTGGGTGGCAAAGGGATCCCCTTCATCAGGGCCCGGCCCGTGTCCAGCTCCGCCAGGAGGCGGGCCACCCTGGGAGCCGTTGAGTCCCATCCGGATGCCAGTCCCGCCAGGGACCCTCTCCGGTCAGCCCCGGCGGCCGCCCCACACCGAGACACCGAGCAGCGCTCTGCTCTCACAGTGAGTCACAGCTGTCAAACTGCACTTCCAGTTCCTGTGCCCTTTGCTCTGCCCACCAACCCTGTGAGGGTTCAGGCGCTTTCAAGCTGAACCTGCCCAAGGTCACCCTGCCAGTGACAGACTGAGAACTGTCCCCTCGTGCGTCAGCACGTGAGAGAAGAGCAGACCCTGGGAAAGGAAGGGAGGAAGGTGGCCATGCAGGGAGAGGGGCCCGGAGGCCAGACTGAAGGTCGAGCAGTGCACACAAGCAATTGGAGCCTCATCTGAAGGGGTTTGAGATGAGATATGAAAAGAGAAGTGAGTCAGGGAAGGGAAGCGACTGTTTCAGAGGTTAGGCACGAATGACTTTTCTTGAAAGTGCCCTGGCTTCCCTTACCCTAATTCTGGGGTCGTGAGCCTCCCACGCCCATGCAGCCCGCTTTCGGGCCCATGTGATCGGATCCGGGCGCCACGGCTCCCAGCCCCTCGCGCCCCACGTGTCCACCGTGCTGGAGGACTGCCAGGCCTTGAACCGACTCCCGTCTGCTGGTTCCAGGCTCCCAGGGGGCCAGGGCTATGTCAGCACCCAGATGAGAGCGGGAGGGGTGTGAAAAGGTGTCCCCAGACAGCGTTCCAGGTGAGAGCAGACCCCAGGGGAGAGTGAGCCCCACCTTTTCCTGCAGGACGGGGGGTGGCAGGGAAGGGAGGACCTTGGACAACCCCTCGGGGTTCACTTTTCAGAAGCTTTCTCCTCTTCATTGAATGATCTAGAAGCAATTCTGAGGAAGTCCTCGTTTCTTGTGACCTGCTTGAGGCCAGGGATGCAACTCTCGAATCTCTCCTGCCTTTCCCCACTCCTCGCCCGTGCAAAGCCTCCTCAGCCTCCACTCAGAGCCACTGCCGGCCTGCAGAAGCCTCCTCCACACCCCATTCCATCATGTCTGACTGTCGTCTCTCGGACCCTTTCTCCACCCTTCACCCCCAAGCCCCCTCATGGGCTTTCTCTCTGTCTTCCTCCTCCATCTTCAAAAATGCCAGGCTCACCACAGACTGGACTCCCTTTCCCATTTATTGCAGAAACAAAGAGTGGGGAGGGAGGAGGCCTAGCCAGAGGGCGCTCTAGGAGGCAGCGGCAGTTGGCTGGGCATCCGCCTGTGCTGTGAACCCCACGAAGTAATCAAACAACCTCATCAGGTCATTTTGAACCTTGTCGACCAGGGGTTCCAGCTCCTTCTGTGTCTTCTCCAAGTAACCCCTGAATATGTGAGGGTCAGAGGTCAGTGTGAGGGACCTGTGGCACTGGCAGGGGCCTGGGTGGTGGTGGAGGTGAGACCCAAGACCCCAAACTTCAGCACCTGGTCCATGCTGGCAGCTCCTAGGAGCAGAGGCAAGCCCTCCGAGGGGCAGAGGAGCACGCCCCGGAGATAGAAATCCACAGCCCAGCCTCTGGGCCCATCTGCCCACAAGGTGGGGGTGGGGGTGGGGGGCTGGAGGGACCAGGCAACCCTTCTCTCCAATTCAAAGTTCATCCTCCCTAACCCGCACCCCGAGCTCCGTCGTCTGCAGGACCGCCCACCCTCCCATCTTTTTCCCCAGGGCCCCTGGGCCCTGAACTCCACTTGCTGAGACTCACTTGGCCTGGGCCTGAAGGTGCTGGCTGTTGACCTTCCCCGCCAGCTCTCTGCCATACTCGGTCACGGTCTGGAAGTACTGTGAGAACAGGCTCGACGCGCTCGACTCCTCTGCCTGCCTCCGCACCAAAGCCCCTGCGCACACACAGAAACACGGGGCTCTTCTCAGCTGGTCCCCGGCCAGGAGTCCTGGCCTCCGGCTCCCCCTCTGCCAGGCCCCAGGCCCAACAGGTCTCTGGTTCTGAGTCTTTGCACGGGACTTCCGGGCTTTAGGAAGGGAATGGTCTTCTTCTTGAGCCCTGTGGTCGCTCCACCTGGGTGCAGAGGGATGGCAGGTGGGCAGCCGGGACCGCGCCCCAGGGCACACTCACCTTCGAGGCTGCAGACAGTGAGGAGCAGTGCTGTGAGTGCCAGCAGCTTCATGGTGGAGCGGTGGGAGGGTGGCCTGCGCAGACACGGTGGTGGGGGAGGACACTGAAGCTCAGTGGGCCCCGTCCCTTCCCAGGGACCCCTACCTCGGTGCCCACTCCAACCTGGCATCATCCCTCCCCAGATGAAAACTTGGTCCTCTTGGCAGGTTCCCTACAGCCGGGGCTTCCTACCTGGTCAGTGCCTCCGTCCTTGCGTCTGGGGCTGGCCTGGCCGGGGAGGCAGGGCCTATATACCTGCCTGCCTCCCCACCCCCCTGTCAGGTGACAAGGACTGTGGAGGGGCATAGGGGCAGGGGCCAAGTTGAAGTAAACAAGTGGGAGAGATGAGGGAGGAGAGGACAAGTACAGGGGGCGGGGATGCATGGTGATGGGGTGGAGGCAGGCAGGCAGGCAGGCCTTCGTGGAGGCCAAGGGGGTATCCTTTGGGCCCATCACAGGTGTGTTCTTTTGGGGTGTGGGGCAGCAGTCTTGGCTCCGGGGGTTGCAGGACGCTGGAGTGCTAGTTTTCCTCTAGAAAGCTCTGACATGTCAAGCCCTCAGCCCTCAGTAACTTTGTCCCATTATGGGTGGACTTCATCTCCTTAACCAGACCCCCCTTCATGGCAACTTGGCAGAGAGGCTTTGAAGACTGGAAGAAAGGGCATGAAATAGGGGGTAGGGGTGAGGGTCAGAGGGCAGGTGATCGATTCTGTCCTTTTTTGAGTTAATGTGTAATGAGACTGCGTAGGCAGAGGCAGAAAACATGAGAGCCCAGAATGACCTGTGTGTTGACCTGTGTGTTGACCAATGAGCACACCCTACCCTCAGTCAAAGTCAGAAAGCAGCCTCTGCTCTTCCCCCGCCCCACGGGAAGTCTCTGGTGGGAAAGGGCGGCAAGGTTAAAGGGTAAAGATTGAAAGTCCCCAGTCACGGCATCACCTTATCAGTTTTAGGTGGTAGACAGCCAGTATGAGTTAGCAGGGGCCACGGTGTCCCTCTGACCAAGGCTGCATCCCAGGCCCAACGGAGAGGAAGGGGAGTGCATTCCTCAGGCCCAAGGCATTCGGGTGGTCAGCATTTGCATCTTTCATCCTTTGGCCCTTCAAGTGTAGGTAGGACATTCCTGAGAGATGGGTTGGAGATTGAGGACCAGTGAGGGTGGTGACCAGAGCCCCTGACTTCCCCGTGGAGCCCCTGGCGCTGGAAGGCATCCGCTGACTCCTGCCCGGCCCTGGCGTGGGGCGCACTTTGGGCCGGGGGTCCATGGACCTGGGTTTTATCTGCCAGCTCTGCCTGGGGAATCAGGGAAGGAAGGATCAGCTACGGGGGCGGCTGGATCAGGGCTCAGTTCTGTTAGGAGCGAGGCTGTAGTCCTGCTCTTCCAGCCCAAGCTCTCACCCCGAGTCCCACTGCGAGAGGAGCAGAGAACTCGGGGAGCCATGGCCCTGCAGGAGGGATGGGCAGCGCGCAGAGCACCGTGCAGGGCTGGGGGAGGGGGCCCAGGGGCTCACGGGGTGGGGGCGTGGAGAGGCAACTGAACCCAGGCTCGCAAGAAGTCCTCCTGTCGTTCCCTCTGCCCCTCTTTTCAAGAGGCAAGTCTCCAAGCTGTATGGCGGAGGGAGCTTCAGCGGCCCAAGCTCCAAGATGCTCCCTCCAGAGCCCTGCACGCTCCCAGGTCCCTGGACCTCTGACAGGCCGGGTGACCGAGGCCGTCAACGTCTGAGTCAAGTTCGGGAGCGGCCCTCCAGCCCTGCAGCCTCCACCACGCCGGGGCTAGAGCTCTCTGGACGCGGGGCCTGCCACTCTTCTGCTTCCTCCTCTCCTATTGGCCCCTGGGAGATCGAGGCTGCTTAAGTTTAATAGATTGGGAGGGGCCCAATCAAGGGAGGGTGGGTCTTTAAGGGCTTTTTTTTTGCCCGGCTCCAAGATGGCGTCCGTGACCACGCCGAGGAAGCAGCGTGAAGCCGCAGTTCTGCCATCACTCAAGATGGCTGCCCCCATCAAGATGACCGGGGTGTGCCGGGGGGAAAGGGGCAGCATGATGGTCTGAGACGGTAAGGACTACTGCTTCGTTGAAAGCCTCGCCCTGAGGCCTAAGGATGAAGAGTAGAAAGACTAGGGAGCTGGGTGAGCTCTGTGGTGGGGCTAAGGTTAGACAGTGGGGGAAGGGCCGGGGTGACAGGTGGGGGTGAGGGATCAGAGATGGGACGGGGCTGCGCCTGGGATTCGATCGCCCCGCCGGTGCCCTCCCCCGCCTTCTCGTTCCAGAGCTAGTGTCGGACCATGTGGAAGATTCGGGGCCTGGGGAGCTGGATGATGGGGGGTGGGGCCCGTGCGGGGTAGAGGAGGAAGAGCATCCTTTCCCGGGCTCAGCCCGGCCCCTCCCTGTCCTCTGGACTGAAATGGGGAACACCTTGGGCCTGGCCCCGCTGGGGGCTTTGCCCCGCCGCAGCCCCCGTCGAGAGGAACCTCTGCCCAATCCCGGGAGCTTCGATGAGCTGCACCGCCTGTGCAAAGGTGAGAACTTGGCATTCGGTGTCTCAAGCTGGAGGCGTGCAGGAGGGGAGGGTCTTGAGTGCTGGGTGTGCGGGAAAGGGGAGATCACAGCTGCTGAGGTAGGACCAGGTGCCCCAGCGGAGCCCAGCACTTGGAGTGCAGTGTTTGGTTGTAGGATGTGAAAGGAGGTCAGTTCCTCTAAAGCGCCTGCTGTGGGATGGAATGGGGCCTGCTTCTTGGGGGAGGGGTTCCTTGTCTGTGCTTACTACTCCCCCCCCCCACTTCCCCCCTACAGATGTATTCCCAGGACAGATGGAGGGAGTGAAGCTTGTGGTCAACAAGGTTCTGAGCAGCCATTTCCAGGTGTTCCCACTTCTGTGTTCCTCCCTGCCTGTCTCCTCCTCTTCTCCTGTCCTTTGTCCCCCTGCCTGGGCCCGGCCCCATGGGGTAGAGAAGCAAGGAGGGGGGTCTTTAACTTCCTTGGCCTGGGATTTGCAGCCTTTACCCAGGTGACCCTCCGTATGTGTGGGGATATGTGGGATTCTTAAAAGGCCTGGATGGGCAGAGGCTGAAGGGTGAGATGGGGGATGGAGACGCTGTCCTCCACTGACTCCTTTTTCCTCAGGTGGCTCACACCGTGCACCTGAGTGCGCTGGGCCTGCCTGGCTACCACCTCCACGCGGCCTACGCAGGGGACTGGCAACTTAGCCCCACTGAGGTGAGGGTTCCACACACATGGGCCACCTCCCTAAAAGCCCGCCTAGAGGAGGAGGAAGTGTGTAGTTATGGGGAAGAAGGCGCAGGGCGCCTACCTGTTCAGCTGGGTTTCTCCGGAATGGCAGAGGGTAGGGACCCGGGGCTGAGCGGGAGTGTTTCTTTGCGGTGCCCCCAGGGGGCGCCCGGCGCTGTTCAGGACTCCAGGGGACCCCAGCTGTGCGCGCTCTTCAACAGGTCTTCCCCACTGTGGTAGGGGACTTGGACAGCAGCGGCAGCCTCAACGCCCAGGTCCTGCTCCTCCTGGCAGAACGGCTCCGAGCCAAGGCTGTCTTCCAGGTGACCCGTGGTGCCCGCCCCAGCCAAGGGTTTCCTTCCCCTGTGAATGTCCTGCTGGGGGGCTCCAGGGCAGAGCAGAAGCAATGGTGATCCAGAGACGGGGAGACGGGGGACCTTACTGCTCGCTCTCGCCACCCAGACGCAGCAGTCCAAGTTCCTGACGTGGCAGTTTGACGGCGAGTACCGGGGTGACGACTACACGGCCACGCTGACCCTGGGGAATCCTGACTTGATCGGGGAGTCGGGTGAGAACGTGGGTCAGGGCTCTTTTTGTCTTGGCCGCCCACTTGCTCGCGTCGGCGATGCCCCTTCCTCGTCTGTACGGCTCAGGGATTAGAGGAGAGACCTCGGGGGGCAGGCTGGGGTGGGGCTCCTGGGGAAGCGGGGCGGGCCACCGTTGTGTCCAGGGCTGACTCCGTGTCCCCCGCCCAGTGATCGTGGTGGCGCACTTCCTGCAGAGCCTCACTCATCGGCTGGTGCTGGGAGGGGAGCTCGTTTATCACCGGCGGCCAGGCGAAGAGGGGGCCATCCTGACGCTGGCTGGGAAGTACTCGGGTATGGGGTGAGGGGAAGGTGATGGGGAGGGATATGGGGGGCGTGGCTGGGCTTCCCGGCCGCGTGCTCCTTTCCTCATGCCCTTGGTTTTCACAGCTGTGCACTGGGTGGCTACGTTGAATGTGGGGTCCGGTGGCGCCCATGCCAGTTACTACCACAGGGCAAATGAACAGGTGAGACGATGGGTGCCCCTGCCACCCAGCATGGCATTCGTGAACTCTGGCCCGCCCTGGACCTCCGCTGGCCCTGCCGACCCGCTGTCCCTCCTGTCCACGCTTCACACACATTTCACGCATGCTTCCTCCTGCTCACCGCCATCAGGTGCCTGCGGTCTTTCCAGACAGAGACCCCCTCCCATCCTTGCCCTCTGGTGGTCCTCAGGTTCAGGTCGGGGTGGAGTTTGAGGCCAACACCAGGCTACAAGACACGACCTTCTCCTTTGGTTACCTCCTGAATCTGCCCCAGGCCAACATGGTGTTCAGAGGTGAGGGCGACTGAGATGATGCCTGAGGGGTGGCCGGCGGGGCGGGGAGCTCCGCCCTACTTCCGCTGGCCCCTTCTCTGAGCCCGCTCAGTAACCTCGTCCGCACGCCCTTCCCGCAGGCCTGGTGGACAGTAACTGGTGTGTGGGTGCGGTGCTGGAGAAGAAGATGCCCCCGCTGCCCGTCACCCTGGCCCTCGGGGCCTTCCTCAACCACTGGCGCAACAGGTTCCACTGCGGCTTCAGCGTCACTGTGGGCTGAGGCGGGGCTGCCGCTGCTGCTGCTGAGTCAGGTCCCCCAGGGCCGGAGACCGGGCCCCTCTCCAGAGCCCACCTTGCTGGGCGACCCGTAGGTCCCAGGGGCAGAGGTGGGGACAGGACCATGCCCTCCTCAGCACTGGCGCTGCCACGAGGGAGCTGAGGAGGCAGTGGTCTGAGGACCCCCGTGCCCCCAGCGTGTGCCCTCTGTCCACACTGTGGCTCTGGACTGAGGAAGAAGGGCTAAGGGGTCCGTCCGGCTCAGTTGTCTCGCTCACACTCCCCTTCTTCATGTCCCTGTGGATTGAAGCCCCTCCCCTCTTCCCCTTCAGAGCAAGCCACTCCGCATGGGACTAGCGCCCACCCTGTTCCCCGTCTCAGAGCCGTCCAAGGCCAGGATCCAAATTGACCTCAGAAAGTGGGGCCATGCGTCCGAGAAGGAGCTACCTCCTTCCCTGTCTTTTGTGCTTCCGGAGAACGACGTTACCCCCACAGCCACCCCCTGCGCCCCTGCGACTGTGTGAAGAGGCAGTCATTGCCGTAGTCGCTCCTTGGGACCGTGGGGCCCCCTTCTCCTGGCCCCAGCCTCTGGCCCCCATGTCGGCCCTTCCCAGCCCCGCGTGTCCAGGTGGGCTGGGAAGGCAGCTGCAGATCTCCTGGAGCAGGGGCATCCTGGCAGACATCCCTGGCTGTGCTGGACCTGGTGTCCATAGGTGCTGTTGATGCTCTGGGGCACGGCCAACAGGCCCAGCAGCTTTGCAAACAGAAGCCTTCGGAGGAAGAAATAGCGGGGTCACAGGGAAAGGAAGGAAATACAGCAACTGAGAGTGTTATCCTGCCCCTCACCCCCCAAATCCTCCAAACTGCCCTTCAGTGAAGCTAGGTCTGACCACCAGAGAAAACCGTGTTCTAGGGCGACAGGTTTCTCCGAGGTTCCAAAGGTCCCCAAGGGGCCTCTGGCACTGTCTTCGCTCACCATGTTGTTTTTCTTGAACCCAGAGCTCCGAGGGCCCCGTGAGGAGAAAGCCCCAGACTTGGCGAGAACTTCGACTGTGTGGGATCTGAGGGTCTGGCCTTCTAGAGGAGGTTCTAGAAGGTGGGTGTGTTCTGCGGTCTAAAGCCTCCTTCTCTGGGCAGACTGGCTTGTGGAGGGTGGGCTGGAGCGGGGGCAGGGCACTCAGAGGCTGGAGAGACGGATGCTGAGCCAGCGGCTTTGGCTGTGAAGCTGTGAATGAGCGTCACCTCGAGGGCATGAGAAAAGGGAGGACTGGCCCAGTGAAGAGGAAGGCAAAGGCCCCAGAGAGAGCGTGAAACCTCCGGAAACGCTGCCCGTCTGGGGAGGTTGGATGGGGGAGGGGAAGGGTGCCATCAGCCTCAGGAATGCTGCGATACAGACTGAGCAACTACTTCGCATCTCTACTGAATAAAAAACCTGGAAAAAGCGAGCTGAAACAGCAGCAGGAGCAGTGTGGGTGCTGGGGCGCGTGGACAGGAGGGAAGGAGTAGACCCCAAGGGACCTTGGTTCCCAAAGGGAAGGGCAGAAAAGCGGCCATGCCGAGCCCAGTGTCTCCCCAGCCCCTTCGTCACCTGGGGCAGCCTCCCAGCCCCCAGAGCCCTGTACGGGCCTTGCGTGTAGCTCTGCGGAGCCAGTGCGCTCTCCTCCTGCAGCTAGCTGGTCAGTCTCCTCCCTCGGGGTGACCCCGCCAGTCTGCAAGAGGGAGCAGGGAGGCCAGGTGGGGGTGGGTGGGCCTGCGCAGCGGCCCAGGGGGCCGAGTCTGGGAGAGGCCTGTGGTGCAGGTTGGAGGACGAGCGGGCCTAGGGTGGATGGTTGCAAGGAGCTGGGAGTTGGGCAGAGGTGTTGAGAGAAACTTCTGGATTGGGGGCTGCTCAGCAGGAGAGGAGAGGGCCGTGCAGCCAGGAGCACACACTCGGGCTCCCAGAGCCACAGTCAACTCGATGCCCTGTGGAAGCAAAAGAGGAGCTCTCAAGACCCCTTCTGGAACCCCCCTGGGGAGAGGCGAGGCTTAGGAGCCCTCGGGCCCCTTGCCTGGAACCACACCTCGAGGACACGTCCGGTGCTGTCCCAGCACCATCTCAGCGTGGGCTCCACGTCCTGCTGTGTAGCCAAAAGGCGCACAGAAGAAGCTCTGCCCGGAGACAGAAAGTGGTGCTGAGTGCATGCGACAGATCCCGGCCTCTGCCGGCCTGAGAAGAGAGACCTGGGCCTGCGTGGGCAGGGCACCGTGAGGGGCAGGACACAGAGGACCTCCTGCTTCTGACTGAGACCCAAACACAAAGTGTCCTCACACAAGGCCTGGTGCCTGGAAAGGCTAAGGGGTGGGTTAGCTGGGTCAGTGGCTCGTGGTGTTTTGTTTCTGTTGGTGGGGGCGGGGGCTATAGTTCACTGCAGTGTGTGCTTCCTGAAAGGTAGGGAGATGTCTCATGCCGGAAGTGGGGCCAGTCCGTGGATAACTGGGTGACAAGCTGTACTGCAAAGCGGAGCAGTGTGGGGACCGGGGTGGGCTGGGGGCTGCAGAGGTCACAGCCAAGCGAGGCCCAGGGTCAGGGCTGTCCCTTTGGTCTCCATAGCCTTGGAAGGGCCTGGGGCTGAGGAGCCTGTCTTGGCTGGGTCTTCTAGAAGTCCTGTCCTCTGAACTGGTGCATGGCACATGGCTCCCTCCCTCAGGCTGTCCTCCTTGGTCACCCTCTGGGTCACCCTCCAGACCAAATCCTGTAGATGCTCACCCCACACTGCACAGACTGGTCAGACATGGGGCCCTTGTGGCGGTGTGGGCCCCCAGGAGCACCTGGACAGGCTCTTTCTGCTCCTTCCTTGGCTGCTCAGGGGCTGGCTGTGCCAGGACTGGGCCTGCTCCACGAGCCTCAGGGCCAGGGCTGCTGCAGGCAGGGTCACTGTGCCCAGGCGAGTGGCGTGACAAAGCCGTGGATACCAGCAGGGGGCTGCCGGCCTCTGGTCTCGACCCCAGACAGCCTGCCCAGGGGAGGGTGCAGGGAGGGAGTCCCGAGGCTCCAGCTGGCGGGGGTCCTGCCCACGTTCCCGAGCCCGTGGGACTCGGCGGCAGAGAACAAGGGGCTGTGCTGGTGATGGTGTGCGGAGGCCTGGCTTCCCAGGGAACATTGAAGAGGGCGGGCCCTTCGTACCTAGAGCAGCATCGCCTGACGTTCGGGCAGCGCTGCGCTTTCGAAGGCTGTGTGGCCAACTCTGGAGCAACCCTACGGGTAGACGCAGGGTTTGTTCCCCGTAGGTGGGATTCTCGTTTCTCGGAAATGCAAACAGGCTGAGATTCCAGTGACAGGTCCAAGGTCATGGAAGCAGCAAGCATTTGGGTGGCAGACGGGTGGGTGTGAACACTGGCTGCGCGGGCTCATAAGCTGAGTGAACCTGGGCAAGTTGACTTGTGTGGAACCCAGTTGCGCCATCCGTTGGGAGCATTGCCTCATCACCTGGCGCACAGAAAGAGCCGTAAGTAATCAATTCAATTACGGAGTACCTTCTAGGTGACAGGCACCACACGTGAGATAGAAGAGAAGAAGCAAGCTGCACTCATTCCAAGAGACCGTTCCGGGAGAGGGAATGGCCAGGGCGAGCACAGCGGCACCGAGGAGAGTCCCAGGGGTGGCTGAGGGCAGACCGGAGGCTGGGGTGCGCTGAGCCAGGGGCACCAGAGTCACCGGAGGCTGCGAGGAGGAGCTAGACGTGGGGTCACAGCCCAGAAGGGAGATGGATCCCTTGGAGGTTTCTAGCAGAATGGCGACCTGGTCTTGCATGTGCCAGGAGCTCACGCCACTTGCTGTGTGGGGAATGCTGTGTAGGAACAGGGAGAAGAGAGAAACATGGTCAGGATTCCTGGCACGGAGGGGAGGGGCCGACTCACTGCTCTGCTTCCTGCCTGCCTCCAGGCACTTTCGCCCCCTGCAGGCTGGGCAGAGGCACCTCTGGGCCTGGGAGACCCTGCGGCTCCCAGCAGAAAGGCAGCTGAGACCGGTGCTTCGGCCAGCTGTTTGTCCGTGAGAGGCAGAGACATGAGTGTGGGTATGTGAGGGGCCCGGATGACTTCGCTGCTCTGAGCTGTGCCCACGGGCCCTTCCGGGTGGACATGGCGCCTGCCCTCTAGTGCGGGCGTGGAGGCACAGGGCCCCTCAGGAAAGCCTGGTGCTCGTGACTGAGCGGTTGTGTCCATGGGGCGAACCTCGGCCTCCCCTCCGTTACCACGCCACCTGTAGCATGGAGGTCGGCGACGTGTCGGGAGCGAACCTCGGTGTCAGGCTCCGGATGCGGGAGGGATGCAGCTGGACCAGCTCGGGCCGGCGGGGGGCCGTTTCCACTGGGGGGGACTTGCCCCCACAGCCAGGACTTGGACGCGATAGCCCGTGGCCTGGTGCCCACACCAAGCAGTCCCTCGGCCCAGCGTCCCTGCTGGCCACGACTTCTGGCACTGAGGTGACTGTCACAGCCCTCGAATGTGGGAAAGGTGACCATCTTGTCTGCTCAGGTCACCCTTGACCTTCTTCCCCCTTCCGCAAGCACCTTCCTGGGCATGCCCTGGGCCCAGCCCCTGCCTAATCTGTATTGTAGTGTTCTCGGTCTCTGCCTTCTCTTAGGCATCATGTCACCTGCAGGCCGCAGAATCTGGTGTGGGATGCGTCTCCTGAAACTCCCACTCTGCCCCTGTGTTCCCTTTGATCTCAGGAGCTGCCTGTGTCTGGAATCAGGGCTATGGCCCTCAGTACCTGGGAGACAAGGAACTGCCACTGTGTGTGGCCTCCAGTTGCTCTCAGGCTGCCTCGCAAGGGCACAGACTCTGGACCCGGGGCAAAGGCCTGGGGGAGGTTTTCCCAGCATGCCTGTGGTGCTGCTTGCTGGTACACGGGGAGGGACCCTGGTGGGTGGGGACCTCATGACTCATTTCAAGCTGCTCCTAATCAGACCGTGGAGATGTTTGCTACTGCCAGGCTTCATGCTGGATCCGCAGTCTGTATGTGGGTCCTGGGCATGCCAGGCAGAGAGGGGAGACAGCAAGCTTTTTTCATGGATGGTGTCCAATGGACAGGTGTGACAGTTACACAAGGCTCCTCGAAGGGAAGCTCTGAGAGACGGGTCTAACGAGGACCCTAGGCTGAGGTCCCAGTTCCTAAGTAGGGAGGGCTGAGGACAAGCTGGTCTCGAATAAATCAGAGGCAGCTGGGTTAGTCTGGGACTCTTGTGCCAGAGTATCGTTCTCCTGTGCTGAGAGGGATCTCGGACTCTGTTTAATGTATAAGATTTTATTTATTTATTTTTAGAGAGAGGGGAAGGGAGGGAGAAAGAGAGGAGAGAAACATTAATGTGTGGTTGCCTCTCATGTGCCCCCTACTGGGGAAGCTGGCCTGCAACCCAGGCATGTGCCCTGACTGGGAATCGAACCAGTGACCCTTTAGTGCTCAGGCCGGTACTCAGTCTGCTGAGCCACACCAGCCAGAGCTGAGTTGACTTTGATAAGGATAATGAGGACTGGGCTAGTTCAGGCAGAGGGTGCAGTCAGAGAAGTCCCAGAAGCCAGGCAGAGAAAAGTGGATTTGGTAGAACCACAGGCAGGCCTTTCTTGCTGGAGCATAATGTTTCAGGCAGGGAGTGGTCGGCAGGAGAGTGGCCTGGGGGTGGGCAGGGCCCGCTTTCTTTCCGTCACCCCCTGTCCTTTCTGTCTCCTGACCTGTGCCTGCCCCCTGCCTCTTAGCTAGTCCGGGCACCCATCACTTCCCACTCATTATGCGGCCGCCTATTCATCATTCTTCCCGTTACCAGCTTCCTCTCCTGCAACCCATCCTCCATGCTCTCGCTATTTCTAAAATGCAAATTTAATCATGTCTCTTTCCTGCTTAAAATTCTTCATTGGCTTCCCGTCGCCTCCAGGATAAAACCAATCTCTTCAGCATGACGTGCAAAGTCCTTTGTGCTCGGGCCCCTGTTTATCCCTCCAACCCCACTTCCCCGCCTGACCTGACACCTCACACTTTGGCTCTAGATGTGCTTAAGCCTTAGAGCTTCCTGAACTTGCTGTGCTCACTGACCTCCAAACATCTGCCCCTGTTACTCCGTCTGGTGGGAATCTTCACCTGGCCCCTCCCTTGGTTCTCCCGATCTGACCTGCTTGCCCTTCAGACCTGAGCAGAGGGTCACCTCTGGGGCTGGGGCAGGGTGGGGGCTGGCAGCAGAGCTGCACCTCCGCACGCAAGCTTGCTACAGCACCCACACACTGCAGAGCAATGTCAATCACCTATGAGTTGTTGAAGGCTTTTATTTTTGGATCCTTAGGGTCTGTCTGTGTACTCCTGGCACATATAGTGAGTGTTTATGCAATTTATTTATTTTAAAAATATTTTATTTATTTATTTTTAGATAGAGGGGAAAGGAGGGAGAGAGAGGGAGAGAAACAGTGCGTGGTTGCCTCTTGCACGCCCCTCACTGGGGACCTGGCCCACAACCCAGGCATGTGCCCTGACTGGGAATTGAACCAACAACCCTTTGGTTCGCAGGCCGGTGCTCAATCCACTGAGCCACACCAGCCAGGGCTGTTTATGGAATTTATAAATTAATGGGTAAGGATATGAATTAAGGTCTGATTCCAAATTCACGCTCTTTTCATGTGGCATCATGTTATTACCTGTGTTGCAGTCATTCACTCAGCAAATGTCTAACAGGTGTCTGCTTTGTGCCAGGCATGTCCCAGTGACGTGGGGTCCCGGCTGTCACCTGGATACATTCCTGTTCCCTTCAGGAGCTTTCTTTCCTAGCCGATTATCCTTTGCTGCCCTGACTCTCTGACCAGATACTCATTTGCCTTCTCGTCTGATTCCTGACTCCTTTCTGACTTGTGAACCACTCCTACCTACTGCTCCTACCTGCCAGATTTGCTTTTGACATGAGGTGGCCTCACTCAGGTGTCCACGGAGCGGAATTTGCAGTCTGGGTCTGCTCTGTCCTGTGTGCCCACCCCCATGTCCTGGCACAATTACTTCCTTGCGGTGTTCAGGCTTCCTCCTTGCCTTCGCATTTTGTAACCTGCTTCCAATCTTCTTCGTCTACATTTACTAGTGATCTCTCGTGGCCTGTTGAATTCAATGTGCTTTCTCTTCTGTTCCCCCCAATCTACCTCCCTACTGCTTCGACTCACTAATAAGGTTGTCTTCTTTGAAAATCTTTCTCACTGGCCTCTATGATGTTATGCATTCCTGGTTCTCCACCTTTATTTCTACCAGCTCTTTTTCTCTTTCTCCATTATAGAGTTTCCCCTTTCCCTAAGCCTACCAGTCAGGAAAAACTATAGGCTTTTCTCCAAGGCTCCATTTCATCCGTCCTGCCTTTCTTCTTCTATGTTCCTCCCTGACAGTCTGTCTATTCACAAGGCTCTGGTAAAATGTAAAAATAGCTGACATTGTAACAGCACAGCTTACAGCGCACCTTTACATTTCTGATTTCAGTTGTCATCCTTATTCTGGATTGTGACGTCTCCAAAACCTACAACCCCAGTTCCAGGGGATCTTGCTATTCTTAGTAGTTTCTTCTGATGCCTGGTAAGGGTAAATCTCATTCGGTTCCTTTTTCTGGACACTGACTGCACTTGCTCGGACTTCTGCCGCAGCACCTGTAGCAGTGCAGCACCTGTAGCAGCACTGCGCCTTCGCACTCACGTGACTGTCCCTCTCCTCCTGGACTGTGTGCTCTGTGTCCTGTGCGTCTCCTCTTCCCAGTGCCCAGCATGGATCCTGCCCATACCGTGTGCTTCACAGCCAATGCACGATTAAAGACCTTCCGAGCTCTCGGGTCCTGAGTTCCAAAAGTCACTTTGAGTCCTCTCCTAGATCTTGTTAGTGACCAAGTCTTACTGGTTCTTTGCACCTCGTGTTTCTCCAAGTCCCTTCTGTTCTGCTGTCATCACTGCCCTCACCCAGACTCTCGCACTTTGTACAGTGACAACATCCCGTCTTGTCTTCCTGCTCTAACTGTTTTCATTGTCAGATGAGTACTATGTTTCCCTGGTTACAGTAATCTGAAGATGCTATCTCTATGAGGGTCAGCTTTAAGTTCCTTATTCTGATACATCTCCCGCAACTTCCCCATCCTCAACCTCAGTCTTCTTTCATCATTTTTCTCTTATCACCAGATGCCAGATAGATCCGTCTTTTCCCCTCCTTCCCTTCCACCATTGATCTAAGTTTTACCCTTCTTTTAAGGTCCAACCCAATCCCCTTTTCCCCAGGAAGCTTTTGAAACATCTGGCCCTGAGCAATGTCTTTCTTCTTGGACCTACTAATATTTAGCATTATATAACTGACTGTTGTAGCGTACTGGGCACTTAATTACCTATGGCAGGGGTGGGCAGTCTGTGGCCTGTTGGTCAAATCTGATCTGTGGCCTGATTTACACAGCCTTTGAGCTAAGAATGTTTTTTAAAAATATCTATTTATTTTTTTATTCATAGGGGAAGGGAGAAAGAGAGGGAGAGAAATATCAATGTGTGGTTGCCTCTTGCACGCCCCCTACTGGGAACCCAGCCTGCAAGCCAGGCACGTGCCCTGACTGGGAATCAAACCGGTGACCCTTTGGTTCTCAGACTGACATTCAATCCACTGAGCCACACCAGCCAGGGCTGTTTTTTCAAATTAAAAGAAGCCCTGGCTGGTGTGGCTCACTGGATTGAGCACCGCACTGCGAAGCAAATGATCCCCAGTTCAGTTCCCAGTCAGGGCACGTGCCTGAGTTGCAGGCCAGGTCCACAGTAGGGGGCACATGAGAGGCAACCACACATTGGTGTTTCTCTCCCTTTCTCCCTTCCTTCCCCTCTCTCTCTAAAGAAAGAAAGAAATAGATAAAGTCTTTAAATTGTTAAAAGAAGAAAAAGAATATCTCATCATACATGAAAATTATATGAACTGCACACTTTGGTGTCCAAAAATAAAGTTTTACTGGAATATAGCCTCACCTATTTGTTTATATGTTGTTTAAGACTGCTTTCAAACTATAAGGAAAGACTTGGAATTTCAACAGAGACTGTTAGCATTTACTCTCTGGCTGTTACAGAAAAAGCTTTCTGACCTCTGATGTAGGATCTCAGATTCCCTTTATACTCTTTTTTTAAAATTAATTATTTATTTTTTTAGAGAGGGTAGGGAGGGAGAAAGAGAGAGAGAGAGAGAGAAACATCACTGTGCGGTTGCTGGGGGCCGTGGCCTGCAACCCAGGCATTTGC